GAAGGAACAATCTCAATTAAATTAATATTTTGCTATATTTTCGTATTGATAGCACTTCTCGGATCCCCGACGTATACAAGAATTGTCATAATTATTAAGATATTTGTGTACATCTAAAGACATTTATAGTCTTAATAAAGAGACATCAGAGATGATCATTTCTCGGATTCGCAGGATGCTACTTAATAACTAACGAGACTGAAATAATAATGACATGGACTTTTTTTTAATTTAAACTTTAATAATAACTAAATCAGTAACCCCAGATTCGAGCGATGAGCTGAAGTCGAAGTTTTGATAGTCATACAAATAATACTTTTCATTCCGTAAATTGAAATTTAACTACTTCGACCTGAATTCGGGAAAATCCGTCTCTTCAAAGCACTATCCAACTAGTAAATAATCACCATAAATAACGCAATGAATCATGAAATATTTTTATTATTTATTTATCAATTTATCCAATTGGTAGATTTTTTTTTTATTTTGTTTAGTAGATAAAAAATTGAAAGTCGAAACGATCGATTTAACATTTTATTAGGTAGTATTGAAATTTTTTTACAACTTTATAGAAAGAAAGGTCGTTACTGTAGGCCTAATTATTGACTCACGCATTTGTGTTTACTTTGATCTGTCTCTGCGTTTATGTTTAAAGAAGCAATCAGCTGTGCATGCTGCTGCTCTTATTGTCGGGAAATGATCGCTTGCGTGTCGCTTAACCTTGTTGGAGATTGTGTACTGATATTTATTTGAAAATAGGTTAAATATTTGCCGAAATTCAATTGCATTCAATTGTATTGGGACATAAGGTTTTCTGCAACACAATCATAGTAAATGTAAATATTGGTACTTCATTTTGAGGTACATGGAAATAGACCAATTTTTAGATGACAGATATTATAGCAAGTAAATACTATTTCGTTAGCTCTTGTAAATACTATAGTAATGCAGCTTTTTTTTAAAAAAGAAACATCTTGTTGATATGCACAATACTTGTTGTGTTACAATAGATTAAATTTTTATTGATAATTTAAAATAACAGTATTTTTCAAATATAGGCGGTTTTGATGGGACGAGCAATGTTCTAGCCGGTAAATTGTTCAACATACCGGTGAAGGGAACCCATGCCCACTCGTACATAACTTCGTTCACATCGGTGGAGGAATTACGCAGCACTCTGCTGCAGTGCAAAAAGACGTCCCACGCGAAGGACCTGCGCCAACTGAGCATTGACTGGCGCCAGAAGTTGTCCACCCTGCTCGACATCGGACCGGAGGAGGCGAGCGACGGCGAATTGGCCGCGCTGATCTCTTTCGCAATTGCATTCCCGGATGGATTCATGGCTTTAGTCGACACGTACGATGTGAAGAGGTATCCTAGTCGCATGACAAACCACAACAGCACAACGGCCACATCCGAAAACAGTAACGTTTATACAAATAATAACAGTTTAAGTAAAAATCATAACTACAATAATACAAATACGACGAAACAAAGCAATACTATTGAGACTACGACGAATAGCAGAGATGTGGCCGAACGTAATTACAGATGCCAGTGCCAGCAAATTATATACTCGTACAATACAGAATTGGTGGAAAAGACTTTGAGGTAAACAAGTCAGAATATTCTTAATTCCTACACTTTACATTCAAAATAAAATTGTTTGCTTTATTTTTCAAATTGGATTAGTACTAACGAAACATTTTGCGTTTTGGATTTGAAACAAAGTGCAAGTTGTTGCCGCTGCCCAAAAACAAAGTGAATGTTGAATAGAATTTGGTCTCTGTTGAAAGAAATTTCAACATGATTTCTTTGAAGTTACGTTTAGTGAAATTATTTAATGCTCTATAAGTTTCTGCAATATACTTTTTTTTTTCGTATCGATTCAATAGTGCCTAATTGAATATTGTTGAACGACGCATTAATTTAAGATATGAATAACTTTGGATTTAAAATATAATTTGTATTAATTAATATTATTTTTCTTTTTATGAATTTTAATTTCGTTTAGCATAGATTAGTCAACATTCAGTCAAGATATATTTTTTTGATTTACACTTCTCAAAAGATCGACCAATATCGAGAAAAAATCAACTTTTTGAATGGCACTAATGTATTGCCCCTCGCCTTTGTTTTTCTATTTTTTCCTTCTTTGTTCTAATCAAGTTTCACATATGCTATAATATATGTTTTTTCGGGATGATAATCCAACAAGAATTATTAATTGGCATGAATAATCATACTGCATTGTGATCTATTGCTCGAGATTTTTAACAATTTTAATGTGAATTTTGAGTTTTTATAATTATTTTCGTTAATTTCTCAATTATTATTGTTGATTGAAGCTATAGAATAAAATAACATATAATATTACTATATTATTTTTTCCCTAATTTATGTATGCATTCAGGTCTAAAAATCTATCCTGATGCATTCTGAGTAATAAAATTCCATGTTTTTAGTTGATTTAATAAATTGATCGATTAATTAATTTTGATCAACATTATGTCTGTTTTGCTTGTATTATTTATCTTACCTGTATACTTCATATGGTTCAAAAATCATTGTGCGATAGTAATCTTTATGAAAAAAGATTATTAGTAATTTTTATAGAAGAAATTCATTGTCAAGGTCTTGCAGCGACATGCAATTCTATTGAGAACGTGCTCATAATGAATAGTTGTCTTGGCTTTGCATTATTATTTTTTTGACATCGTTCACCTCAAACTAATTTCCACCAACTCATGTTGCAAGGTATGTTGTTAATGTTGGTAAAGTCGTCGAAATTATATGTTTAGTATTTTAACTCATATCTGCTACATACTTTTACATGTACATATAAAAATATATATTTGTTGGACACATCTGAGCCCCCTAGTTGAGGCAAGCACTGCTCTTCACAAAAGCACGCTATATTTCTAGAGTTTTAATACTTGCATGAGATGCATTATGTACGTTAGATCAGTTTCCTGCTAAGATAGATCATGGTGCAATGATATTGTACCATATCTTGCAGGAGGTAATATCTTTATACAAAATTATATATTTCTCATTATTAATTACATGTTTCTTTTTCATAATTGTTTGGTATTTAATTAGTATTGGATTTGTCATATATTAAAGAAGTTTATCAATATTTCAAGTATTAAACTATAGATTCATTAAATATAATGATTTATTATTGAATTATGTTATATGAAAAACAAACGTATTATACTTCTCAATGTATTTCAAATTCCAGCATGCTGTTTTATAGTTACTTTTTACAATTTTGGTTAGATATACAGTCTTTATTTTAGTAGAATGAAATATGTATCACAATGGTGTGACTTATTTTTATTTGCCAATATTTTGTTGCTTTATTTATCTTATCTTCATCTTTGTCAACCCATATTGTTCAAAATATTCTTGGCTTCAATATTACAACATTTTGTTAACTTTCTTATGTCAGTTGGCATGTTTGTATCTACATTCAATGGCATTATATACGTAAGCTAATATTATTAAATTAAAAGCATTCTGTATTACTAAATTTAACTGTAGTTAAGCGTGTTAGGTGGAATATTTATTCCTCAATATTATAGACTAACTTATTTTGTGCATTTTTTTTTTCGTGGTAGCTGCAATTGGGTACTTCTGCAACCCACATGAAATTCCACATGTTATAAGTTTTTATTTGATCACACTATAAAATAATATAAAAATGTACTTTTTAAAGAATGTAGTTAGAATTCATATTTTATATTACTTTTATTTTTTTTAACTAAATATTTTTGTATTATAATATATATATATATTATAATTGTGAAGCACAAATTGACTGGTTTTTTGAAAGAAGTTTTATGAGACAGCTGTTTTTGTGTTCAAAAAGCAGTAAAATATAGAAAAAAAAACTTATTACTAGTGCACATTAACAAAAATAAGCAGAACAACTATTAAAAATATGTTTTCCATGTCAAACCTTTTCTAAAAACCATTCAATGCATAGAAATGTAATTTTTAAAATCAATAGTATGATTTTTTAAAATATTTGGTTTTATACCAGGAGTGGACTACTGAATTTCTGCAGTGTTGCTATGGCTCTCAATGATCTAGGGTACAAAGCTGTTGGTATACGAATAGACTCTGGTGATTTAGCATATCTCTCAGTTCTGGCCAGAGAAACATTTGAGAGGATAGCAGAGAAATACAACATTCCTTGGTTTGCAAGACTCATGATAATTGCATCAAATGATATCAATGAAGACACAATACTCAGTCTCAATGAACAGGGACACAAAATAGATTGTTTTGGAATTGGGACGCATTTAGGTAAGTTTAATTAGCGAGAATATAAAAAGTGGTTAAATATAATTAAATTATTGACATTTAGGCTAAATAATATTCTGAAAATACTTTTTATCAAGTATTCTGAAACTTTTACATGTGCAAAGTGATTTTTTTTCCTTAGTAGCACTTCCAATATCAACATTTAATAAAATTAGTAGATTTTTTTTAGTAAAATATCTAAATCATTATTTATAACATCTCATTATAATATTCAATAGTCATTTTATAATTTATTTTTGCAATAAATAATAATTTAAATATTTGGCAGTTACATGTCAAAGGCAACCAGCACTTGGTTGTGTCTACAAAATGGTAGAAATAAATGGACAACCTCGAATTAAACTCAGCCAGGATGTTGCTAAAGTTACAATGCCAGGTCGTAAGAATGCCTATCGTTTATATGGGGCAGATGGACATGCCCTTATTGACTTGCTTCAAAGAACTCACGAACCCGCACCAATGATTGGACAAAAGGTATTATGCAGACACGCATTCCAGGAATCAAAAAGAGCTTATGTAATTCCTTCTAGAGTTGAAGCCCTTTATAAGGTAAGAGATAATAGGAAAAGTTTTTGTATTTTGCTGTACAAAAAGTTTAATCATGTAGTTTGCTAATCTCTGTAAGTCTGTTTCACATTATTTAAATCAGAAAATTTGATTTACAAGCGCTTTGAATTAATGAATAATCAACATGTTCACACATTATTTGAACCTCATTTATTTTCAAGTTGTACTGGAAAGATGGTCATATATGTCAACCTTTACCAACACTTATAGAAGTTAAAAATAGAGTGCAGGCCTCACTTAAAACCTTGAGGCAGGATCTTAAAAGGAATCTCAATCCAACTCCATATAAGGTAATTATGATAATCAAAAAGTACAAGTTTCAAACCTTATATAATAAGACGTCATGATGTTAACTGTTGGTCACATTTTCAGGTGGCAGTAAGTGATGAGTTATATAGTTACATTCATAATTTGTGGCTTCAGAATGCACCGATTGGGGAATTATCATGATAATCAAATTGGAAGAAATCATTTAACATATTATTGAAATGTTATGTACTTAAAAATGTGCCTCATATGGAAATAATAGTCATGCAGTTGAAAGTCATATCACTTACGCATGCATATACATGGTAGTATATGTATTATGAATGAAGGTGTATATATATATATATATATATATATATATATATATATATATATATATAATACTTTCTGCACATGAAATAACAAAATTTAATCATGATACATTTATATTTATAAGGCTTATTTTAAAGATATTATATATATATATATATATATATATATATATATATATGATGGTAGAGTCTTGGATTTGTAAATATTTTGTAGAGCTTCGAACAAAGAATCCAAAAAGTAATAAAAAACAAAAGTTTTTGAAAAAAAAACATTTCTTTATTTATAAACTGTCGACGTTTCGGAACTAGGTACGTTCCATCTTCAGGACATCTGTCAAGAAAAATGATTTTGATAAGATTTAAACAAACAAAAAAGAAAGTTTTTTTAAAAACTTTTTAATTTTCTAACATTTCTTATCAAGATCATGTTTTGTGACAGATGTCCTGAAGATGGAACATACCTAGTCCCGAAACGTCGACAGTAATTAAATAAATGTTTTTTTAAAAAACTTTGTTTTTTATTACTTTTTTAATTCTTTGTTCGAAGTTCTACAAAATATATATATATATATATATATATATATATATATATATATATATACATTTTATGTGTAGTTTTTGTTTCATTTATTACATGCATAAATTTAGTTTCAGTTTTCAGTCACTGTTGCAAAGCAGTTGCATTTAGCTGTTATATCTTTGTTTTATCGTTGAACAACATATTTCTGTTTAGTAATTTATTTCTATATTTTTAATATGTACTTTTATTGTTAAAATGAAATTAAAGCATAAGCAAATTTTAGGAGGATATTTCTACTTATAATGGTATGTAAAGATAGTGCAGATGTTATGTATTTCTCAATTTCTAAACTGATAAATAATGCTATTTATTTATTTATTTTGCTGTAAATATATATGGTGTCAGTTGCCAAACATAATTTAATGATCTACTGTATATTCTTTTGATTAGCTATAAAAAACTCTCTCCTTTCTTTAACCTGAATATTTTTATTAATTTCTTTTGAGAGGTTTGATTTCTATCTATTTCTATATTTTTAAATTTGATTTCTATATTTTTAAATTGCTATCTAAATAAACTTCATTGCATTTGTAAAATTTCTTGCACTGATTTTTTAATGATAAATATGTATCTTTTATTTCTTAGCAATTCAATTGCTTCTTGACAACAATATTTTTCATATGAATTCTGTTAAGGGGCTGTTGCAACTTATGCAAACATTAAATTAATGTACTCATACTCAATATGAACTCATGTGCACATCAATATTTTTTCTTTGTTGTATCAATATTGTTTTATATAAAAATTTAAGCCAACATGCTATGGCATTATTTTCCTAATAATATTGAATTGAATACTTCAAGCTCGATTACTTTTCATAGTTTAGGTATAAAACAATAGATGCGAAAATTTTACTCCCCGATTTCCAGGTAGAAAGTAAAGTACATTTACTTTTGCTTGCATTTGTCATTTACATCTGTAGCGTGTATTTTCTTAAATTAGATAGATATTCTTAATTTTTTATTCGTACATACTCATTTCAAAAAGTGGCTTAATGTGTAGGCGTGTGCCTTAATATGACCTTGTGTGTATTTTGAGAGAACAGTAATAACTTATTACAAATGTTCACTTTGTTATTTCAATTTAAATTAATTCTATATCTAATGTGTGTACTATATGTACAATGTATTATTAAAAAGTAGAGTAATTGAAAAATTGATGAATGGATTAAGGTATTAGAAGCTGCATATGAATAAACTCGTTACCAGTTTAATTAAATTGAAATATCTGTGTGCTTGTACATATAATGAATATTTATACTCCAAGACATAAATACTCCTATTATAATTTTGAAATAAATTGTAGTAAAATAATGATATATGTTGTTTTTAATATATATCTTTAATGTCTTACTAACTTAATTACTTGAATTTCTAAAAAGTAGATTTACAGTTTGTTTCGGTTTTTGATCTTATATGTATTGTCTGCAATTTAAATTCTTTAGTTGCAGGTATTCATGTAAGTTATATTGCTCTAATTAAGGTTGTATCATTGTTCTATGCAAATATAAAACCTAATTGCACAATTTGTTGTATATAAAATTAATTGTGAGGCGAGAATAAGATACAAAAGGTTAGTAGTTTACTACTAAGGAAAGATGAATTGATTGATTCTAGAAAGTTGAAAAGCACAACTTGTTTTTTTTTACATATCATTGAAATTTAAATATTTTCATTCAAAATTAATCTTTGAATTTTCCAATAACAACTTGAAAATTGAAGACTTTGTTATTGAAAAACTTTCATTTGAATTATTGTAAATAAAATACTGTCATGATATGTTAACAGAAAAGAACATTTACCACAAAATTATTTTAAAAAAAGTGTGTTACGATTGTAAAATAATTTATATAATTCACTATTGTATTGCAATTGCAAATATAAAAAACTAAAATTCTTTGCTCGAGAAATTTATGTTGTGATTTTAATACTATCATAGTGTGTAAACTTTTTAACTGTCTCTCTCTCAAGAGATAATAGTGGATAATAATACCCAAAATCATGTAACAAAATTCCAAAAATAATTATTTGTACAAATAGACACTTAATTCTTTAGTAGACTTTCAAACCTTTTTGTTTGGCCAAGATCAATGGTAATAATATTAATAATAAACCAAAATCATCTTCCATTGACCAAACGCAAATTTGAGGTTTTAATAATTTCAGGATTGTGTCATGTTTGCTTAACAAGATAAAAATGTAGTATAATTAAATTAAACTAACTTCCCTAATTACAAATAAACACAAAAAATTGTACAAATAAATATGACAAACAAATCCCGTTTCATGATGAATATATATGTATTTGGACGGTCACCAACACCAACATCCAACATACTTAACATCCAACTTCTTTTACAAGAATTTTGTTTGTCTCTAGTGGAAGCGTGGAGTCGTGGAGGTCTCTGTCAAAAATGCCAATTTATATAATACATATATCCAATCCGTCCAATCCAATCCCCATACAAATGAAACTCGGTGCGCCAGCTCTTGGTTCGCTTCGAAAACGCTGGTCCGCTTTGGTTCATAGGTGCGGACTCGGATTGAAACGAAGTGACGGCGACGTCGACCGATCGCATTGGTCGTGCTCCGTGCTGTGCTGTCCACGCGTTAGCCGCGATGGATTTTGAACGCATGTTTTGGTTCAGGAAGTTCAGTTGGATCGAGTGAGGCACAAAGCGTGCACCGCGTAGTGAGCGCTGTTAGAATTTTTTTGTTTGGGCTCCCCGAGGAACCGCGAGTCCGACGAACTCTGGGATAATCGTGTTTTTAGTGTGGCAGTGAGTGCGTGAGTGGCGACGATCGGCCACTTGGAAAAGGTGTCGACGTGCACCGTCGAAATCAGTGGCGTGCACTAATATTCCTCGTTCTTGTGGTGGTTTTTGAACATTTAAGATATTCTTCAGCGATGGCGTTGAACCAGGATTTGGAGCAGCAGAAGCCTCATCACATCGTAACGATGGATCAGAACTCTGACTCGGACCTACAAGCTCTGTTCGACAGCGTCCTCAAACCGGACTCGACTAAGAAACCGTTGCAAGTCCCGTTCAGGATGCGAAATCTGCCAAATTCATTTTTCAATCCGCCTTCGACAGGTTCCAAGTCGCCTTCTATATCACATTCGCGCGAGAACTCTGCCGACTCTGCGTTCGGATCCGCTGCAGGCGGCGGTAGTGCCGGCGCAGGCGGCCAAGTCACAGTTCCTGGTCTACAGGTATCCCATTCGAGGGCGCACAGTTCGCCTGCTTCGTTGCAGCAGACTTACAATGGCAGTGTCCTCGGGGCACAGACACAAGCGCAACAACAACACCATCATATGAAGCAGAGATCCTACGATGTGGTGAGCGCTGCTCAGCTTCAGGAAGAACTCGGACCGCTGCCTCCGGGCTGGGAGCAAGCTCGCACGCTCGAAGGACAAATCTACTATCTCAAGTAAGTCTTGTTTCTTACTTTCGAAATTCGCAACTGTCAAACTGTTACATTTTTTGTGACAACAGACTCGTTCCCATGACAACCATATGTATACTTCGCAAATTGCTTGTCCAGGTAATAACTATCGGTCAATTCTCATTCAAAATTAATTTACCAGTTAAGTGATTCGAAATCTAGCGTCGGGTTGTGAACAATTTTTTTAACAACCTTATCTAAATTTTTATATCTTACGTTAATATTTTTATAAGAGTATTCTGCTTATAATTACGAAGTTTAAGGAGTTTCTAAAGCAATGTTTTCCGATAGTTGACTGTTGTATTTACTGTTACTGCTAGTGTTGACATACCTGTTGTATTCAACGGCATGTGTTACAGTACCTCTATAAGCAAAAAGCAATGCTTTTCATATATTATATGTAACTGTGTATAAGCGATTTAGAAAGTACGATATGTTTTAATGAGCTTATAAATAAACTATTATGGACCGATGTAAAGACAAAAAACATACATGTAATATTTACTACAGTTGCTAATGATATGTGGCTTTATGTTATCAAAAACATAAACTTTGTGTTAACATTTGAACAACTTATTTATGCAATATAAAATAATTTATATTTCGAACTTTTAATGTTGAAAATCTGAACATTGTCTCAATGGTAATCACATACATAATTGACATAAACAATGTCATTGTTTAATATTATTTGGAACAGTTTTAACTGTTCCTTCGTCTTTATCAATAACAAATCGAATGATTGATATTGCAATTGTTTTAATATCTTCCACCTTTCCTACCAAATATTTCAAGATTTGAATATTATGTAGAACGTAGGAATAACATCAATAGGAAACAGTTGATACATTTCTCAGTGTAATCTATTTTAACTCCAGATTTACAACAAAATTTGCATCTTAATAGTTCGAAGATTTTCTTTCTTATCCATCCACAATAGTGGTCACTAACTAAAAAATCTGTGCGTGTTTT